CCATTCATCACACACACACACACACACACACACACACACACACACACACACACACACACACACACACACACACACACACACACACACACGTGTGTGTGCAGAGCGCCATAAGACGAAACCTATAAGACCAAAACGCTGTGTGAGGTTTCGTCAGTGTCTTTGCACCTTTGTGCTGCAACAGATGCCAGATGAGACTGAGCTCTACTTGAAGAGATGCAATGTAATTAAGAGCAAAAGGAGGAGACAGAGAATTTCCCCAACTTCGCTCCAGTAGTAATCATTGGGCCTCTTAAGAAAGTCAAATCCCCCAACATTTATAGCACTTTTGTGGCAAACATCAGTTGGTCAAAGGGAGTTGCGATGATGAATTCAACCCCACCTTTCCTAACCACCTTTTTTTTAACTTTCATACACGATTGTCGTCAGTGGCCTAAATATTGCCGGCAAAAAAATTTATGGAAGAAAGACCTTCAAATGAATCTGAAGAGGCCCATTGTTTCCACAGAGCAGAGAATAGATGCTGTATGCTCTCTATGTGTTGCTGTCCTGTGTGTGCTGATGCAGCAGATGTTTGAAGGTTTACAGCAAGGGTTATTCTTAACATCTGCGCTATTTACTGTTAGCTTAAATAGTGTTTCGCATTTTGTGTGCATTAAGATCGTGGATTTTTGTTCGACAAAATTAAACGGTTTGGTTCTTTTTGGTTTTAAAATACAAGCTTTGTAATTCTCTGGTTTAATCTCTGCTGTTAGATTTAGAGTAACTTCAACTATGAGTGACACACAGCTTGAAGCAAGCACACTCGAGCTCTTATTTGTGCAACAGTCTTTCACGCTATTTCTCAAAGTGATGTTATATGTTTTTCTCCCATTTCTTCATGGCAAGAAAGTGAAAAGAGGTGTCTTTTTAAGTGTTTAGAGTCTACCTTAAATTCAACTTTTTTTTTTAAATACATAGTTATCACGCTATCGTGGATTTTCACCTATCACAGGTGTGTCTTCAATCCCTCGTGATGAATCGGGATTCACAGTAGGTCCTTATACTGATCTTTCCGGTCCATCTGCCGTCCTCTGCTCCATCCACAGGTTCCCCTCCATCCACATCCTTCTCTTCCTTGTCATGCTTCCAGCGGCTTTCTCCTTCTCACGACCTCAGTGGATTCTTCAGCGTGTCCCCGTGGTCCTCCCACAGCAAAGCGAGAGTCGCCCGGCCCCACGCTTCCTGTCCCAAGCCCGCCTTAACGTCAGCTCCGCGTGTGACCCAGAATGCCACAAAACAGCGCCTTTGCCTAGCTACTGGGACTTGGAGCAATTTCTGGCTTATGAGACTCTTCACTCAGACGGTCGACTCACTGAGACCGCCGTCGGGCTCTACGGTTATAACTTGGCATCCAACAAAAGCCCCGCATACTCCTTGGCGCCGTCTGAGAAAGGCCAACGGTCACATACCAGACGAAAGCGTCAGATCTTTGGTCACGATGGGCGATACAGCATTGCAGGGCACAACTTTGTGCTTAAATATCCTTTCTCCGTGGCTGTCAAACTGTCCACCGGATGTTCTGGTACTCTCGTCGGGGACCGGCATGTTCTAACGGCCGCTCATTGTGTTCATGACGGTAAAAACTATGTGAAGGGCGCTCAGAAGCTCAGAGTGGGCTTTCTAAAAGCCAGACAACGGGATCTACGGTCTCCAATTTCCAACTTGAGCAACCATGTTGAGAGCGGGCCAAACGTCGGCCCAATCGTGTCAGAGAAGATGAAGTTCCAGTGGATCCGGGCAAAGCGCACACATGTACCCAAAGGATGGATTAAAGGCAATGCCAATGACATCGGGATGGACTACGACTACGCGCTTTTAGAACTCAAGAAAGCCCACAAACGGCGTCACATGAAGTTGGGTGTGAGTCCTCCTTCTCAGAGGCTTCCCGGGCGACGGGTTCACTTCTCCGGGTTCGATAACGACCGTCCGGGACAGTTGGTGTATCGTTTCTGTCAGGCCGGAGAGGAGACGTCAGACCTGCTCTACCAGCACTGCGACGCCCAGCCGGGGGCCAGCGGGTCGGGGGTCTACGCCCGAATGTGGGACGGGCGGCGTCGGCGATGGGAGAGGAAGGTGATCGGTGTGTTTTCTGGGCACCAGTGGGTGGAGCGTCAAGGGGCGTCTCAGGAATTTAATGTCGCCGTGAGAATCACGCCTCTCAAATACGCTCAAATCTGTTACTGGATAAAAGGAAACTTTGTGGACTGTCGGGAAGGCTGAGGAAGTACATTGATGTGTTAACACCGCTCACAGCACTGACGAAAAATGATCTCCAAAACTCAGAGTGGAAACAAAAGTCACAGATACTACAGTGAACCCCTGCGAAGAGCAAAAATCCGTCAATAATTGATGACCACCCAAAAGGGTTTGTAGTTGTCGAGAGATGCCACAAAATGGTAGCAAAACACTTTTTTCCCCCAATTCAACACAGCCTCACCAGATGGTGACTTTTTCCAGCAAATGTGGAAATGTTTCTCACTTAAAATAGTGACAAAAAGCTATTTCTTTCGAGCTGCTCGCATCTCCTGTCTCTCATTAGTGTTGTTGTCCGGTAGATTGCGTAGCGTAGATAGTAGCCTCGGTCTGTTCCCGGTTTTCCAGATCGGTTTCAAGATACTGACAAAATAAAAGTGGTCAATGAGTCCATCTTTTTCGTCTATTTAGATCGTTTTTTTTTTTTTTTTTTTGTCGGTCAAAAGTGAACAGAAATGTTTTTTTTTACACCAACGTTCCGGCCTCATAATTCCATTTAAACATGGCACACTGTGCACCTGTCCGTAGTTAGGGATGCACCGATGTACTGTCATACATGCTTGTTGTTTGGTCGCCTCTTATTTTTTTTGCACTTGATTTTCACGCATGCGCAGATGAGATCTGCAAGTGGCATTATGTATTGATAGCAGATGGATGGAAGATGGTCATTTTCCTATTTTTTTCACAAATTGATACAATTTATCAGTCCTCACTTCGTCTGTTATTTTTCCACATTACAATTGTCAACAGCATTTTAATCACAGATTGCTTTGTGTCCCTAAATGTGTTTGTGGTGCTGATTTCCAAAATACATTAACTTTTTTTTTCCAAAACACATCAGGTTTTTGAGATATTTTCATTTTGTTTTTAAGTTTGACTTACAGAAGCTTGCACAATGTGGATTTTAACATGCGTTGTAATTTATAGCTTATAGCTAGTTTCAGAAAAAAAAATTATGAACCTAACCCTTAATTCATAAATATTATTAATATATTAGAGTACTATATTTCATTATATTATTATAAAAATATATTTGGAACAGCGCAAAAAAAAAAATCTGACAGTTAACTTGCATCTCTGATTTTTTTTTTTTTTAAATGTAGTAAAATGTGTTCGTTTGTTGACCACTGTTGTTGACCAATTTCAAGTGTTGAAAATAGTTTTGAGAGCAAATTAATTCACTCTCTCAAGAGCTTGGAATGTCTGAGCAGTGTGGTAAAAGGCCGCCCTTTCCTCAGTCAGCGGGATCCGTTCAGCCATTATATCACCTCAAGTTTGAAAGTCTAGAATTCCGGATGTTTATTTACAGTAACGCACAGTATAAGTTGAAGATACCTTTGAGTGAGCTTTTTTTTTTTTAAAATAGGTAATTGTCATGCTTACGTGCAAAAGGACTTGGTCAGGCACAAAGGTAAGTGCTTCCACAAACTTCCACCTACAACATTGCTTAGTTAGTTCGTCGCTTTATTTTGTTAAATCCCTCATGCTACAAAGATCTTTAAGAAAGGAGTTGGGGAAGATGATGTATGGACAGGCGTTTGCATTTGTGAAGAATTAATGACTTTCTGGTCAGGCGGTTGACCTACAGTCAATGGAGACTTCAATGTGAACAGCTGGCACTGGCGACGTGTTCAACTGTTTTATTTTATCAGTGAGTGTAATAGATAAGTATTTTTAAAATGATTATTATGGTCAATTAGTGATTGAACATGATTTGGAGGTGTTGTGGTAATTAACTAAATAGCAAGGGAAAGGTTTATCCACTTTAACAAAGCGAGTAAAAGAATGACATGGCTTTCCCACCCTTCGTCCTCTTAAAACACGTGATTTTGGAGATGCACTGATTTTGCATGACAGCGACGTTATAAAAACTGAATCGCAGGACTGGGACAATTACTCTTGAAGTGTGATTGCACTGTTTGAACTTTTTCTACTGATCTACTTTTTTGATGAATGTACAAGTGAGCTACCAAAGGTGCCATTTGATTGATTCTTGTCGCTAATTATATTCTTTTTAAGGGCCAAAGTAAGTTCTTTACAAGCATGATCTATTATGTCTGCTAAATCAAATCTTTGGAATATTGATGGGTTGCTATTGTGCAGAATTGTCTTTCAGAGTTATCACTTACTGTCACTCCCCAATCCCCCCAAAATACAAAACATTTTGTCTATTTTTTGGGGCGGCGGGGGGCATGTTGAATATCGACTATATTACACGTGATCTGTCGGAAACCTTCATTGAATGTTTTTTGCTCCCTCTGGGGGATTAGCAATACATGACGAATGGCTTTTTTAAACACGTTGTTTCAATAACCATTGTTAAATTGCATTACTGTGCTCCAGAAATGTATAACTGGCAAATAAATAAAATGCTTCGGAGATCTTTCTTCATCTGCGCGTATTCTGAGTCATTTATACAAATACACAATGTGTTCATTTCAACATCATGTTTTATTTCGGATGCCAAAAAAAATATGCTCAGGGTGAAATGAAAACTGTAAAAAGCCGAAATCTGAGGACCAGCTCCTTAAACTTCTGCAACTGTGACGTGATCCACAAAAAGGAAAACCGCATGCTGGGATATGTGAAAGAAAACTAAACTGAAATTGAAGTTTCATCGACAGCGGCATCTGTTTTAGGCTCACCTCGATCTGTTCAATTTCGTAAGCTAAAGACCCATGGGGGGCGGAATTGAAAAGGAAATTCATTCGAAATACTTTCCGAAGCTCGAAACCTCAGCTCAACATCATTCTGAGGGCCATTCAGCAATCCAACAAAAGCGGGCGAATGTGTTGTTTGAGCAAGCACTTAAGTGGGATGAACAAATAAATCAAAAGGCAAACGCCGTTTCCCTATCACGGTTTTACTCGATAACGGCAGGTGTCGTCCATGAGGAATTTCATTCAAATCAACAGCACCACCTTCTGGAGACACTTGCTACATTTAAGTTGACGCCAGCCAACTGCATTCAAGAGCAAACGCAAACCTACAAGGCACCAGGAGGCTCTTCCTCCTGAGCCTCACTCATCCTGAACCTTGACTGAATAGATCAGATGCCATATGCTTGATGAATGTTATTTTTCATTCAGGCCATGGCAAACTATTTAAATGAACCACGAAAGACATGCTTTGTCAGCGGATGTGAATGCACTTGAAAAAGGAGGCAACCTAAGGCATCAGAGTGGATGAAGGAGATTGACTTGAGGGAAAAAAAAGGCAGCATGCAAGGTGAAGCGGTAAGAAGTGAACTGCCGACAATACATGAAGTGGTAATGAAACAGGCGGGTCTGGATGACTTCCAAAACTCCGCATTAAGCACCCATGTCATTCAACATCCCTTTGAAAATGACATTCAAAATAGAAAGTGAGGTTTTATTTTCGTCAATCTTGTTCTTACGAACACGGGGTCGATTTGGAAAGCAATTCAGAAGTCGATGGCGGGTGAATTTAAGGCATGTAGCAATGACTTCAGGCCAAAAGGAGGAGGAAACAGCGCAGCTGTGAGGCTCGCATGCCGTGGGTGAAGACTCGTGGGGTCATGGCCCCTGATGACTAACAAGCGCATGTCCACTGCAAAAGCCCGAAAGAATACGTAACACAGGCGCAGATTAAATGAGGAGGAGCATGCAGGTATTGTCGGCGCAGTGAGAAGTACCAAAAGGTCTTGAGTAGCAAAATCTCTCTTGATGGGACGTTAAAACTAAGGCTCCAGAAAATAGCATCTTAGCACGTACTACTCACAAAATGTTCAGTATTAACTGAAAATGCACTATAACCTTTGGAGGTGAACGTAAACTCGAAATTTTTGAATGCACATTTCAGCCTGTTCAATGTCTATTTTATTACAAAGAGGAAAAGGGGCCTGAAATAAAGACACACTGTGTGTGTTGCTTTTTGGCAATAAAAGCGCCATTAATTGCATTTTGGCGACAGTCTCTCACACACAGGTGTATTCCAGATTGTAAATAGTGTTAAGTATTATTTGAAAACAATTTCTATATTGTCACAATCAGGCGGAGAGTCGGCCAAACTTCAATTTCATACTTTTTCCACAAATCGATCCTATTGTTGCCTCGCCATGTGGGCCTTATTTTTAAAACATTACTAACCAGTCTGATGTGTTGAAAATGGCCGTTTCTCTTTGAAAACGCAAGTTGTTTTTTTGTTCTCCTGAAACGTGATGGTTTTGGAGATCCTGTTTGATGCTAGTGAGACTGTCAATATCTTATTGGTATGGCCTGACGTCGGTTGGCTGCATGTTGGCACGCGGAAATGTTATTTCTGTCGCAAATGCTCTCGCGGTATGACATGGCATCTCTGCAACGTTACAACAAATCATTCACCGGCGATTTAAATTTCAACTTGCAGGGACATTAGTGGCTAACTGTCGGCCAGTGATGAAAACTACGAGTAGTCGCAAAAAAAACGCATGCCGCGTCACAGCTCAGTGGAGTTGCTCGGCGGGCGGCCGGGCTAACATGAAGCCGAACGGCAAAATTCACAACAGGTGTTTGATCCACAATTTGATTTCCTGGTTCACTTTAAATTGATAAATAGTCCTCTTCATGCAGTTCACGTCTTGACATCAATATCACACCCCGTTGATCAAATAAGATCTTAGAGGGAAGTGGCCACTGACCTGAGTGTGTCAGTCAGCAGGTTGGAACTGCTAAAGAGACTGGAGGAATCACAGAGAGGCATAGACGTAGACGTCCTTGGGAAAACACAGTGTCAATTTTGCTGTGCAATTCTTGTTAGAACACAGCAAGCTGTGGAGAAAGTATTCACATTTGAACAAGTAGACATGTGAACTCAATAATTAAAAGCAGGTCAAAGTTGATCGGAGAAGGTTATAGTGCATTTTAGGTTAATTCTAACCTTTCATCTGGAAACTCAACTTTTCGAGAGTATTGTAAATTGGCACCAACACTGTCTGTCCACACTGGTGACGAAAGATAAACACTCTGCCGGTTGCCCAGCAACTGCCCGTCCCCTTCAAAAACGCTCCTGTCGCAGTGCTAAGTGGCTGTTGCTGACTGCTGCTCAGTATTTGATGACGATTTGAAGCGAATTGACTACCGGCAGAAAACAACGTCGTGACTTTTCCTTGAAAATGGCTGCATCTTTTGTCATCCAATATTGTTTGTGGTTTGAGGGTTAGAAGTTCAGGCCAATCGGGGAGAGGCCATGCGGCTGCGTGGTCACTTTGACATCTTTGGTGAAACTCCTCCCCCTTCTAGAGACAACACAACGCGGCATGCTAATGTGGTCAGCGTGGTAATGCCCGGCGTAACTTGAAATAGTATACAAAATAAAATATTCTTTTAAATAGGTTTATACAAACATTGCATTAAAAATATAACCGTATCAAAAGACGATTAGGAGTTCGTTTTCCTGTCCCTTACCCTCCAATTGTGAGCGCTGAACACCCCCTCTGCTCTCCCAATCTTAACCCACCTCCATCACACACGCGATGGACGTCGAGGATGTCTTTTACTGCGACTTTAAGCCCAAACTACCGGTTAGAGGGTAGGAGTAGGCTTTGCCCAGCACTATGCGGTCTCTGAGCAGCTTGAAAAGGACATAGTAGTTGCAGAAAAGAATCAGGCCCAGAGAGAGAGTGTGGTTCCAGCGCTCAGAGAGGAACAGCGAGTACAACTGATACAGAACCACGCTGGTCTCGATCCAAATCAGCAGGTTCAGGATCCGCAATGGCTTGTGGAAGAGAAACTGTAACACCAAAAGAGAGAACAAGGTCAAACGTCAAGCACACAAGTCAACATTCAAGTCAGCATTCTGGTTGAAAGGTCCACAAATAAAATGACCTCACAGTTGCTCTGAGCTCAGGTGATGACCAATCACAGCTCACCTGTATTCTGAGGCTGAGCCACGATTGGTCAATACCTGAGCAACTGTGATGTCATTTTCAGTCAATAGCAAGTGGCAAAATGGCCGCCCCCTGACATAGACAAAAATGGGTGAATTTTACAGCTCAATTCAAATTCCACATTGGCAATATTAATCACAATACCGCATTTAGACGGCTGGGGCTGCATAGAACGTATTCTTGTAAGGAAAATTTGGGGGTTTGACATCCCCTTTAATGTTTTTGACGAGTGCCGGTACCAATTGCAGATTTGTGATTTTTGTGGCGGGGATCGTTCCTATTCTCTGTAAATAACAAGGGAACATTTAAATAGGCAATTTAAAGTTGAAAAGTATTTTTTTTTCCCCATAGTAAGGATGTCAACTTAAATATGAATGAACCTTTACGACTCCAATTCAGGGAAAAAAGTATTTAAAAGAGATCTTTGTTTTGTTTGATTTGTATCCCCATTAGCTGTGGGGATTCTACAAACACAGTTCATGAATTTAAAAACATTCATTTAGAAAGAAAATATAAAAACAGGATACATAAAAAAAGAAAATACATTTGAACAAAAGCAATATGTACTAAGCGCTATATTCTATTATGACATCATTTTACAAACATTAAAAGTTTCCTTGAGCACATCCTACAGTTACTTTGCCAGATGTTTCCTTGTTTGACTTTTGAATATCGATTTCCGTGTCAGTGTGGTCATTGACAGTGGCAACGTATTCCATGTTTGGATTTCTCTGTAGTCAACTGTTTGCTTCAAGTGATTTGTTTTCGGTTTAGGAAGTGAGAACCGGCCTGGTGTTGCCTGTCGCGTGGCATATGTATGTGACTCTAAATTGTCTTTCCGCCGATTGTACCTCCATGAAGGAGTTTTAAATTGTAGAACGTTTCATGTTGAGAGGAGCAGTGCAGCTGTCATTTGAACGTCCAACTTTTCAACATCCTAAATTGGAGTGCATAGTGTTGATGTTCGTTCTTAATGGTCACTGGACAGCAAGCCTTGCTGCCTTACTCTGCACTAACTGCAGTTTGCTGAGTAAGGCAAACTGCTGATTTTTCTGTCTTTGCTGGTATTTGGCCATATTCTTTGGCAGCCATCAAGCTGTGAAAGAACAAGTGTGTTGAGTCCCATTCTAATTCGTTCAGGTGTCAAATATATTCTGCATCGCCTTACGACCGCTTGGGCTCTGCCCATTTTCGAAACAGTAGAATCTGTGTGTTTTGACATCATTTAACTGCAAAACCAGACATCCATCCATCTATTTTCTTAACCGCTCACTGATCCTGACTAGGTCGGTTTCCTCATATAATCTGTCACTAAAACCAATCTTCATCGATGAGTTTCGTGACATTCTCTCTCCTCGACTGTTTCATGCAATTAAGCACAGGAAATACAGTTGGCCTTGTGAGCACAATGAACGCTATATTGCCAGCACGTTAATGATAAATCGCAGGTGCAGGCAAGTTGAAAGACGCAAGTGAGGAGTACTTGATTTCAATACAGTATGTGTAGGCTCATAATTAGCTTCAATGTGGATGGCACTAGCTACAGTAAAATGCATACGGCACATGTCGGTTTTTGAAATAAAGTTTTAGGTCGCAGTTGGTTTTGCAGGGTTAGAAAATGCAACTACTGAATGTCTGCGAGTACAAAGTAGGTGTGGCTGAATTTTTTTGTCTAAACGGCGACTGTCGGCTTTTGTGTTTGAACTCATTAGTTTCACTACTTGCTCTGGTGCAACCCTTGATCGGTCAAGGGAATCATTAACAAGTTACTATGATTTATGAGTGTACATACTCACATAAAATCTCGCATGCGAAACATCAGAGGGCATAGCAACATTATACGGTCCAATTGCTTTATACAGACAGCGGCTGTGTCGTACCAACACCCCTTGAGGCCAAACCGTCTGCTCTGACCATCTGAGGAGGAGGGGGAAAAAAAAAATTCATGAATGGTGAAGCTTAAGAACCACGGGACAGAGAGGGTCACTTACAAATGCTGAGGTGTGTTGCTGTAGGATCCGTGCTCCAGCTTCTGCCATCGGCCCAGGTGGGCCGCAGAGCGATGAAGCAGGTCACAGTAGTTCGGGGGCAGCAGCTGACTCATCAGCATCACAAAGGCATTGATCCACACCATGATCAGATGCTCACAAGACCAGCGCATGTCATAGTATTGGGTGCTCTGGGGAAAAACAAATGTGTCTTTGTTACTTTGAAAGACACAGTGAAAACGCGAAGATGCATCCAAACAAAGCAGAGGGGAGAACCTACCCTCACAAAGCAGAGAGGCAAGAAGGCAACATAATAAGCACTGAACAGCGAGTTGAACAGCACTTCCTTAATCCGCCGATTAAAGTCGCTCTTGAGCTCCTCCACCTCGGATCGAATCAGCTCAGGCGTGTGAATGTGCGTGTGCGGCGGGCAGGTGTGCGTGGGCATGTGCTGCGGTGTGGAAAACTGTTCTCTGAGGTTCTCTCGTAACAAGAAGAGGAAATCCCGGGGTCGGAAGAGGGGAGCGTCCGATAGGTCCGCTTGCTGGTGGTCGGATGGGTAGTCGCAGTCGGCTGTTGACGTTTGGCTCTTCGGTCCTTCCTGGTGGAAACAGCAGAGCGGGACATACACACCAAACCTAAAAACAGGAAAAGGGGTACAAAGTCATAGTTGTCGTACATCCTAATGTGACGGATGTGAAAGCCTCGACAACAGCCTATGGTCATAGTAGGATAGGAAAATATATTAAGTATGGGCAAAACATGAAACACAAAGACGAATAAAAGTAAGTAAAACAAAGTCAAAATAAATTGATCATGAGAATGGATAGGTTTACTTATGGTTTAGTTGAGCCTGATCAAAATGAAGAGTTTTGAAGTGGCTTTTAGTGGAAGGACGGATGAAAGCAAGTTGACCCCCGCCATCCCCCCTCAAAAAAAAAAAAAAAACCATCCATGTTTACTTTCTGTTTGTGATTTTGAGTGAAGAACAGTCGTAGGTCTGACAGGAAAAACAAATGTTCAGACTGTCCATCCAGCCGTCCATTTTCTAATCTGCTTATCCTCACAAAGGTCGTGGGTGTGCCGGAGCTTATTCCAGCTGGCTTCGGGCAGTAGGCGGGGGACACCCTGAACTGGTTGCCAGCCAATCGCAGGGCACACATAGAGGACAAACAGCCATTCGTGCTCACAATCACACCTCCAGATAATTTCAAGTGTTCTATGAATTTGCCATGCATGTTTCTGGAATGCGGGAGGAAAGCGGAGTGCTCAAACAGCTTCTTGGAAAGCTGTTTGAGCATTTATTGGACAAAGTGTTGTAAGCTTTAAAAAAAAAAAAAAAAAGTCAGGACTAAACACTCACGGGTATCCCAGGAAGAGGAGGTTGAGAACAGAGTGGTTCTTGCAAAGGTTGACCAGCGTCCAGCACAGCACCCAACAACAGATGGTGAGCAGACACAGTCTTGCTGCAATCAAAACCAAATAGCAGAGCAGCGATCCCCTGCTGCTCTGAGAGAGCTGGACAGAAGTCGGAAAAGAGGCATCTTATTGATGAGATCATATGGATCCATTAGCTTCAAACGTCAGATTATAGTAGTACCTTGATTTACAAGTGTCGCAACTGTCGGATTTCTTTTCTGTCGGCGTTTAAATTTACGAGTGCGCTTCATCACAACATTTGGCCATCAACAATTCATGCGATTAATTCACAGTAAGTGTAGTGGTCTCTGTTGTGATTTGTGCTCACATTTTGACTTGTTTTTGTGCATGTCCTTTTTTTTTTTTTTTTAAATCCGGGTGTCCAAAGAAAAAGCACTCAATGACGCACACATTGAATTAAAATATGAAATCACCCAATAACATGAGCAAGGTATGCGTGTAGTTGACTTGGCAAAGCAGTACGAGTGTCGTACTTCTCTGAACTACCTACATAAGTCTAATGCTGTATACCTATGTATATTTACGTAAAACCACTGCATTTTTATGCACTGTTACAGCTACGGGTGTTGATCATAATCCTGAGTTGAGTTGAGTTAGGGACTGTAGTGAAGGAATCGATGAAGGTTAAAGGGCATTAAAACCATTTTGAAGCTGTGGATCTTTGTCCATGAAAAGATCAATGCGCTGCTCAAAGCGAGTTAAGCGTTGCGTAAAAGAAAACAAAACCAAAAAAATAAACAACCGTAAAACTGTGAAGATTAAATTGCATATAAGTGAAGTGAAAAAAAGTAGCAAGGGAAGGCCAGTTTATTTCTTTTCATTCTATTGTATTCCCATATGTTTGCCTATGTTGGCCAATAATGTTGGTGTTTTTTTTTTTTTTTTGAGGGGGTGGGGGGCTCAAGGCATTTCCATTGATTTCAATGTGGGAAGTCGATTTGAGATACTGTACAAGCAATTTAGATGACGAAAATGGCCAGGGAACAAATTACACCTGTTAGTCAAGGTACTAGTGCACTTCAAGTTGGCTCTCTGGGAAGGGGAAAAAAAAGTGAGTTCACCTCAGAAACTATTGTCCAAACAAGTCTCCTGGCCAGCATGACTGTGATGAAGATAGCCAGGTGGTAATCCATTAGATGGAAGCTCTACAGGTAAACAAGCAACAGACAAAGGAGAGACAAGAAGCATTTTTCCTTGCACGTTGTCACAAAGGAATCAGGCAAATACGGACTTGATCGCAACAATTTGGGGATTTCTGGTGTCATTCTGGAATGAACCCGAAATGCACAGCGTTCTGTACACAGCAATTTCGGGATTGCCCTTCTGTCAACTTTTGAATGTCCGACTGTTCATTGTTCCAGCACTTTCTTTCGACCAACAAATACCGGTAGTTTTTGTTCGTTTATGTGTCAGTTTTACTATGACTTGATAAACATAAACCGTCAACTATGCACAGTGTCGAAAGCAGTTGTTACACACACATACATACAGACTGACAGACAGAGATCTATCTGTCATACAGTTGAACCTGTATTATTTTACACATTATTTTCTTCAAACAAAGACTAAAACTAAGGGAGTAGTCTGCTTTTTTTTTTTTTTTTTTTTATAAATGAGGCCGAAATCAGAGTGAATTGTTTGTTTTATTTTTGACTTGAAGTGTGTATTGAGAGTGACATTTCTGTCTTTTGTCAGAAATAAACTATAGGTCTTACTTTAAAATGATCTGTCATCGGTTTAAGAGAAATTTTATGTATTAAATGTACTGTCAGTATCGATTTCTTGGTATCGAGATATGTGAGGAATCAAGAGTTGAGTACTCGTACTGTTATCGGTCTGGAAAAAAGGTGGTATCGAACATCCCAAGAAGAAACGGAATTACCGGGTAACTACAAACAAAACAAAACAAAAAAAACAAAAAACGCATTAACCAATAATGGTTGTCATAGCGTTGACAATCAAGTTTAGTATTTACTTTTGAGGTCACGCTCTCATACTTGGTGCTTTCAAAAGTGTGTGTGCATGTGTGTGTGTGTGTGTGTGTGTGTGTGTGTGTGTGTGTGTGTGTGTGTGTGTGTGTGTGTGTGTGTGCGAGCGCACGCGCGCGCTTACGAGTGAGGTAGAGGTGGGTGGCTGGCTGTATGGGTACCACCAAACTGTCCTGTAGATGTTGACATACTGGACAAACAAGGCCACCAGTAGATAGAGAAAGAGCAGGAACTCAAACAGCAGGCTGCTGTCCAATGGCAGCAGAGGAATCTTCGAGTGGCGGACGGGCTCTGGCGTTACTACGGCTGAGATAGGTGGTGCAGACAGTCCCAAGGAGCTACTGTTCCTAAACC